GCCCATAGATGTTGTTAACCAGCACACTCTCACAGGACAGTTTGAACAGGGAGGCGTTGTCACAGTAGGGGTTGGTGATCAGAGTCCTGCAGCGGGTCAGTCGGATGGTCAGACCCAGCAGGACCCCCACCAGGACAACGGCCACCCCCCAGGCAGAGGCCGTCAGCTTGATGATCATCCTGTTGGTCATTATGGCTGCATAGCGCAGCGGCTTGCAGATGGCCACATACCTGTCGAAGGCCATGATCATCAGCACCGTATGGGAGGTGGTGCCGAACATGTGGGAGATAAAAGCCTGCAGCACACACTCAGTGTAGCCGATGAGGCGCTGGGGCGGGGGGCGCAGGATGTCCCACATTAGGCGGGGTAGCAGGATGGAGTTCCCAACGACGTCGTTAAAAGGAAGGTTGCAGAACAAGAAATACATGGGCTGGTGGAGGCTCCTGTCCATCAGGATCAACAGGATTAGCCCCAGGTTGGAGACCATGATGAACAGGTAGCAGAAGAGGAAAAAGAAGAAGAGCGGGTACATGGAGACTGTTGTGACCTTTAACCCCTCCATCTGTAGGGTGAGGCTGTTGAAGGTGTAGTTCTCCATCAGCCTGAAAAACAAGACAATGACTCACAGCTGATTAAAATGTTAAAATTTGAATCCAATCAAAGGCTTTAAACAGAAAAAAATCAATTAAATGTTGTATGAAATGTGTGAAATGAGGCTGTTGAAAGTATGGTTCTTCATCAGCCTGAAAAACAAGAAATAAAAACAAAGGATGATATAGGATCGGTGAGGAAGTTTGCACCCTAAATATTTTTAAAAATCACAGAATCATAATATGTGTGAAACGAGGCTGTTGAATGTATACTTCTCCATCAGCCTGAATCAATAAACAAAACGAGGGATTTTTCAGATTTTATTGGATCTGTAAGGATGTTTGCAAATTAAAGGTAAAAAAATCCCAACATCTTAAAATGGGGGCAGTCTCAAAGTAGACAAGACACACAGCTGATTAAAATATAATCCAAATAAAGGCTTTAAACAGAACTAAATTTAAGGAAATTTGGTTTGAATGTGCAGCCTGAAACAAAAAGCAGCACATCAGTGGATTTTTTTGTTATTCACAATAATTTCAAAAAGGTTTCCAGAAGAGGGGCGGCTTACGAGCTCATTACAAATCTCTGACTTTAAAACCAGGGGCGTCAGACTCCAGTTCTCTAGGCCACTGTCCTGCGTGTTTTAGCGTTTTTCTTGCTTCTGCACACCTGTTTCTGATAAATTGGTGTGAATCAGGTGTGCTGAAAAAGGAAAAATCTAAAAAACCTGCAGGACAGCGGCCCAAAGAGGCCCTTAGCAGACTGGGCTTTGACACCTGTGGTTTAAAGGATCAGCTTCACCAACACACTGGATTACCTGCCTTTCCTCTTGGTCCTGCGTCGGCTGAGTGCCCGACAGCCAGCCATCTGACACCAGAACCAGCCCTTGCCTGTCTTATACAGGCGCGAATTGAGGCTGATGCAGCAGGCCGTTCCCATGGAAACGCTCATCAAACAGGCCACATCACTGGAAATGGAGCAAACAAACGGGCGGAAACTCTTCAAACCAGGAGGATCCTGGCTGCTGAGGGGCACTGAACGCTCCTCTGGTCCAGGCTTTTGGGTCCAGAACACAGATTCCACTAGAAAGGATTCTGGATACCAGTACAAACCATCAGGAAAGACTTACAGACCCAAAATACCCAAGAAAGTTGCCACCGTTCAGCGGGAATCTGAGCATATTCTTAAAGGGACCATAAAATCCTTAAATGATAACAGCTCAAGGCGGCAAGGTGGTGTGGTGGTTAGCACTGTCGCCTCCCAGCAAGAGGGTTCTGGGTTCGAATCCCAGGGGAACCAGGACCTTTCTGGGTGAAGTTTGCATGTTCTCCCTGTGTTTGAGTGGGTTCTCTCCGGCTTCTTCCCACAGTCCAAAAACCTGCATGTTAGGTTGATTGGAGATTGGGGAAATTGCCCTTAGGAGTGAATGTGAGTGGTTGTATGTCCTTGTATGTCCTGTGTGTGGCTCTGCGATGGACTGGCGGACTGTCCAGGGTGTACCCTGCCCGTTGACCACTGGGATAGGCTGCTGTTCCCCCCGCGAACCCATCAGGGAATAAGTGGTATTGATAATGGATGGATGGATGGATGGATGGATGGATAACAGCTCATTTAGCTGTAAGGTTAAAGGTCAACATGGTTTAGTTTGCAGTCAGAGGGAATCTTTGGAATGACCCTGAGGACCATCAGTAGGGTTCAGAGATCTGAGAGCTGTTTAAACGTGCGACAAACTGGATAAAAGTTTGGATTTTCATGGGTCCCTTCACAGAAAAAAAGTTCACAATAGGAATAAAAAAGCAGAGAAACTTTGTTGTGTGATCTCAGCCAACATGATGCAAACATTACAGAGGGCGTTGATTACCAGGATGAGGCAAGATGAGCCCTGAGGGGAGCCCCCCCACCACCGCCCCCAGAGCCCGATCTGCGGTTTAAAAGATTATGTAAGGCCAATGATGCCACCAGCTGATTGGAAAGGTTCAGCCACTGAAAACATGTTACTCACATTAAGACGAAGAAGCAATTCTGATTTCCATAAAGAGTCATTCAGATCCATAGGGTTCTGGAGAATGGCTGAATCTGAGTTCCAGCAGCAAACACACACAGAGGCCCCACTTTTAAGAGTTTTGAACAACTTTTTAAATACACTTCCCTTTTTACATACTGACATACTGACATACTCACATTCAGTTAAATTCAGTTCACATCAAAGATACAGTCTAATTTAAAGCCTAAACCAGAATCCCCCCCCCGAGCAGTCTGGGCCTATAGAGGGAAGAGAGGTGCATGATGGGAGCCCCCTCAGCAGTGTGGGCCTATAGACGAAGATGAGGTGCATGAAGGGAGCCCGAAGGGGTGTTTCAGTTTCCCCAGAGCATCTCTAACTGTCAGCTTTATCAGAAAGGAAAAACTGCAGCCTGATCTTCATCCCTGGCACCTTCAACCCCGTCATCTATGGACTGCAGAGCAAAGAGGTCTGCAGGTTTCTGAGCTGCCTGTGCAGGCCCATGAGGGCTAAGGATAAGAGTTCGGGTTAGGATGTATTTTGTATATAATACATAAATATTTTTCTGATTTATTCATAGTAATGGGGGTTAGGGCTCTGGAACCAGCCTTCTTGAGAGGGCTTGAACGCTCTACTACTCTGGAGTTGCCCCCAGTGAGAGACGCCCAGCCGAAGTGGGCATACTTATTGCCCCCCATCTCGGTGCCTGTACTTTGGGGTTTACCCCGGTGAACGAGAAGGTAGCATCCCCTCGCCTCCGGGTGGGGGGACGGGTACTGACTGTTGTTTGTGCCTATACGCCTAACAGCAGTGCACAGTACTCACCCTTTTTGGAGTCCTTAGAGGGGGTGCTGGAAGGTGCCCCCCCTGGGGACTCCCTTGTTCTGCTGGGGGACTTCAACGCTCACGTGGGCAATGACAGCGAGACCTTGAGGGGTGTGGTTGGGAGCAATGGCCCCCCCTAGCTTGAGCCCAAGTGGTGTTTGGTTGTTGGACTTTTGTGCTCGGCACGGATTGTCCATAACGAACACCATGTTCAAGAATAAGAGTGTTCATATGTGCTCCTGGCACCAGGACTCTCTAGGCCGCAGTTCAATGATCGACTTTGTTGTCGTCTCCGCTGATCTTTGTTTATGGCTGCATGTCTTGGACACTCGGATCAAGAGGGGGGCGGAGCTTTCCACTGACCCCTAACTGGTGGTGAGTTGGCTCTGATGGTGGGGGAGGATGCCGGTGAGACCCGGGAGGCCCAAACGCATTGTGAGGGTCTGCTGGGAGCGCCTGGCGGAGTCCCCTGTTAGGCGGAGATTTAACTCCCACATCCAAGAGAGCTTCGAGTACGTGTCGGGGGAGGCGGGGGACATTGAGTCCGATCAGGCCGTGTTCCGCGCCTCCATAAATGACGCGGCTTCCCGGAGCTGCGGTCGCAGGGCGGTCGGTGTCTATCATGGCGGCAACCCTCGAACCCGCTGGTGGACACCGGTGGTGAGGGATGCCGTCAGGCTGAAGAAAGAGACCTATCGGGCCTTTTTGGCCTGTGGGGGAAGCAGCTGTATTACAGCTGTGTGAAAGTGCTGAACCTCCACTCTCTGGCTGGAGTGAAGGAGTCAAAATGGTTTGAGCTGTTTACATCAGATGTTACCCCAAAGGCAGGTGGAGGGTCCTGTATAAACCCCCTGTTGAGAAAAGAATGGCGGATGTCCAGTGGAGGATGATACATGGATCAATAACCACGAACAGACACAGAGTTCACCTGGATCCAAGCACTGGGGAGGGGTGTCCATTCTGCACTCAAAGTGAGACACTGGCGCACTTAGTGGTGGGTTGCCCTTCGGCTAGCTGTTTTTTGTTTTTTTAGAGTTTTAAAGGAATGCGTGGAAGCTTTGAGAGAGGTTTTCTCTGTCCTTCTGTTTGTTTTTGGAACCAAATATGTAGGGAGGAGAAAACATTGGTTTTAATCAATTCTTTATTTGGGGTAGCTAAACTGACAATTTGGAAGATGAGGAAGCATCAGATATTGGGTCAGGGCTGGACGGATGTGGTGCAGTGCCTGAAGGGTCTGGTTGCAGCTCGTCTGAGAATGGAGCACGCATATTACACACTGACAAGCAATCTGGAGACTTTCAGGGTTCTGTGGGGGATCAGATGTGCTTTATGTTCACTAGAGGAAAATAGCTCCCTGTTTCTGAATGTTTGACCAATTTGTGTGTGTGTTTGTGTGTGTGTGTGTGTGTGTGTGTGTGTGTAGTAACTATTAAGTTTTATTACGATTATGTATTTCTAATGTGGCACAAATAAAAGAATCAAAAGTCTCTCTCTCTCTCTCTCTCTCTCTCTCTCTCTCTCTCAGGTTAATGAAGACTAAGGCACGTGTCGTAAGCCATTGACCCCAGCCTGGTCTGACCCGCTACACCATAGGTGTGCACGCAGATGCCCTGGGCGATGGCGGGATGACGCTTGCCACCACGCCGTTCCCCAGCAGCACCAGCAGGTAGGCCAGCAGAGCCAGGAAGAACAGGAAGGGGCCCTGGCCCGGGGCCACGTTGAAACCCTCCAGCTCAAACACAATGGGTTGCTGGAAACGAGCCACCTGGGTCTGGTTCTCCAACCAGGACAGGGCACGTCTGCGAACGACAGGCAAAGAATCCAACCAGGGACAGCTCCGTTGATGGCTGCACATGTACAGGAAATCAAGTATTTTGGCCCTGATTGAGAAGGAAAGATTGTAAATACTCTCCAGCCGACATGCTCGGTAAATCCCCAAAAAGAGACAATCAAGAGGCCTCCCAAGCAGATGGTCGACGCATATCCACCTGCTCTATAAGGCAGTTTCAGCAGTTTTCAGGACTGAGGGGACATGCACCCCCATCAGTTTGTTCTGGGCTGGACCCCTTCCAGTTTGATGTCCCCAGAAATCCTGAAAAAAGAGGTGACCAGGTGGTCTCAATATACAGTTTCTAGCTTCCTAGCTTCTAAGAATTTTACTCAATAGGAATCAATGACCAGCCTTTCATTGATTGTGCAAAGGTTTCAGAAATTTCCAAGAAATTAAAGTTTATTGAATATCATATAATGTATAATAGTTGGGCTCAGTTTTTGAATACCGAAATGAGAAATTAATAGAAAATCAATGCCTCCAAGTTTCATGAAGATTTCACTGGGGATACCAAACAAGAAACTTTTAATGTTCAGGATAGATTTCAACCAGTTCATTTTCAGGGTTAATGGAATAAAATTCAATAGCTTGTAGTCCTTCTTCTAGATTCTGTTCATACATTCACAGGATGTTTTATTTTCTGTTGCGTTAGAGTCTGTTTGGGAAGTTTGTGTGTCCAAGCCTCAGTTTGTGCCTCTGAGCCTCTTAGTTTGTGTGTTGGGAATCTGCTTGTGTTGCTGGCCGTAGTGCTGATGAGCCCCTGTGTGCCAGTGACCAGCAGGTTAATAGAATTAGTGTTTACAGTGAGGCGTTCGGGGAGAGTGGGACATGGGGGCATCCATTCCCAGCAGGCTGCTCCTATCTGGCCGGCCTGTCGGATTTTAGTTTTTCTCGTTCTTTGCTTCTTCCGTCTGTAGTGAGCTGAGTCTACTTCAGTCTCGACCTGCTGCTCTGTGAGAACCAGCTCTTGGTTGGTGGGGCTGGTTTAGGAGTTTCTGACCAGAGAGAAACCAGGAGATGGGGACAGAAATGGCAACACCTTCTTCCTGAATTAGGGCTTTTAGACAAGCAAACAGTCTTCTGTTACACTTAATTCAGGAAGTTTCTTTTGAGCCTGAAACTTCCAGCCAGGTGGCATCAGTGGACTCTCCTTGTTGTGGTTCCAGAAGACCCAGATGTGGGTCCATGTGGGTCCCAGGAGCTTCATTACTGATTAGAAGCTACCACTGGGCCTGCATTCTCCTCCCAGAGGGCTAATTACCATCAGAATCTGTTGACTAGCTGGTCGTTGGCAGGCCACTCACAGCGGACTTCATCAATGAGGCTAATTAAGGAGGTTGCTGCGGCAACGCCGTGCCATGAGGTTGCCCTGCCTTTAGGGAGCAGGGTGATCCCCTCCGGTTCCCCTACTTGCAACAGTTCCCAGTTTCATGCAACAGTTCCAACAAAGTTTTTGTTTTTTGCAAGTTTTAATTAATAAAAAGCAAGAACGGAAACATTTTGTACTTTTTCAAACAATAAAGACATAATAAAACATCAAGTGCAAAAAGTACTCAATAAAAAATATGTTATGCAATTAAAGGAAATATGAATACATATTACATCTGAAATAAAAGGGCAGGGTTTAGCCTTTAAGTTATGTTCTTCAGTTGAATGAAAAGGTCTGAAGTCATTTTTCTGGTGCACTCTAAGAGCTTTGAGATTTAACAGAAAGTTACATTAAAGGCCCAGAGCAGAGACCTGAGAACTGGACTGATGTGTTTCTGTTTCCTGGTTCTGGTCAGAGCAGGAGCAGCAGCGTTCTGGCTGTTCTGCAGCTGGATCACAGCTTCTCCTGCCAGGAGGTGCCATGCTTTCATTCTAATAGCTGAGAGGACACCTTATCCAGATGTCCAGGTAACTCACCTGAAACCAGAAATGCAGCCAAAGCCAGCAGAGCAAAATCTATCTGTCAGACATTTGGCTCCATCTGCTGCTCAGCTGTTGCTGGTGTAGCAGGAGGTTGAACCTGGACAGAAAACTGCACCCCGAAGCTTCTGAGGGGGTGCAGCCTCTGAGGGGGTTCAACCTCTGAGGGTATATGTGACCACTTGCTGTATATGTGACCACAACCAGGGTCCAAACATCATGAATAATTTTTCTACTTAGAAGAAAAAACTTTTGAGTCAACTTTAAGAGAAGTTTGTGAACATTAAAAGTATGTGTTTCTGACTAGTTTTTCTAGCCGATTTCCAGCATATGTTTGCTCTCATGGCGGCTGTCTTCAATTTAAAACTGTAGGGGAAGCCGGAGAGCAAAAACTTCCCTGAGCTTCATGTGTGATTAAAGAAATGACTAAACAGAAAATGGAGCCATTCTTTAAATCTGTCAAAATCAGCTATGACTTTTAGTCTTCAAATCTTTTCAACCTTTTAAGTTATTTAACTTTTTCTAGTTTTATTTTCTCTCAATGAAATGGATGGAGTCTAAAGCATGGCTCCATCTGCTGGACACTGGCATTTCAGCCCATTTAAATTCTTATTATGTAGTCCTATGCAGCTTTTTCTAACAGGAGTATAGCTCAATGGTGGAGTGTTTTACTCCAATCAAGAGAAGTTGCTGGTTCAAATCATATTAATTGGCTTCTTCTTCTTCCTCCTTTCTGCACTTGGCATTCCCACAGCTGTTCCGTGGGAACAGTATTTTTTTAGTTTATATATATGTTATATTTCTATTAAATTGATTTTATAATAGTTAATAGATTGATATTAGCTCTAGCCTTGGGGAGACATTACTCTTGTTGAGCAGTCTGAGGAAAAAAACATCCACTGATGCACCCGCTTGAAGACTTTGGTCGAGTGTGTCTCCCACTTGAGGTCGCTGGTGATGGTAGTGTCCAGGAAATTCCAAGAGTTCACTACCTGAGCTCTTGGGTTTATACAGCTCTCACTGCTCTCCAGGAGTTCCCTTGCATTGCATGATGCTCTGTCCTGATGCCGAACAACAACATCAGCTTCCCTTTATCTGGCTCTGACCAGTGCTTTTGCTCTTAGACTGTCCCCACGGCAAACACTGACTGTGAGTGGAATCTCTCTTTGTTGTCCTGCTTTTTTGGAGGCTCCTGGTCTTCTAGTTCCCTTTTAACATCTACATGAACATCCCAGCCAGCCTCTTCCAGTGTGGTTTTACCTTTTAAAGGGTAAATGAACTGTACAGAGGTTTTCTGTTCTAGCGACCCCTTATAGCCTTTTAAACAACAAGCCACACTATTCAAAGGTATTAAAAGGCTGCTATCCTGCAGCTGCTAGAGCTTTTCCGGCTTTGAATTGCACCATTGGCAAAATCAGAATGCCTTTATTATCCTTATACGTAGTATAACAAGATTTGGCAATTGAACAACTGTTTAAAGGAAAATATATATCTACTCTACACCGTGTTTCACACAAATACACAGCCTGACACGTGAGCAAATTTGACCACAAGGTTGTTTTTTTTGGCTGAACGACAGTCGTAGGTGTAGAAGCAGCATAGGAGGGTGCTCAGGACATCTCTGTGGGGAGCCGATGCTCGGCGTGCGTGTGGAGTAGAGGTGGGGGCCACGTTTCACAGTCTGTGGTCAATTGATTAAAAATTCCTTTATCCAGACGCATGCGAGAGGGGATAGACCGAGAATCTCCAGTTGAGTAGTGATGATGTCTACTCCCCAAAGAGTATCCGAATGTGTAACTAAATCATCATCAAGAAGTTAAAGTGCTAAAAATTCAAACTATCAAATCAAATTATCTAGTGTGATAGCTACTTTTGTTGTTTTTTCATTCTCTGTATCCTATTTAATAAAGTTAAACTTATTTTCTCTGTGTTGAATTGTTGATGTGTATGAATCTGTCAAAGTATTTATGTCTTTTTCTTTTTAAAGGAAGACTTCAAACAGCAGTTTAAGCGACGCCCCACCGTTTTATTCTTCTGTTATGCTTAAATGTAGCACTGGATGAAATGCTTTTACTGCCCCATTAAAGTCAATCAGAGATCTGCAGTAGAGGGCCTGACAGATCCAAAGAGTCCATTGGTTGTGCCTCTCTTTGTGCAGGCTGTGTGATTCGCTCACACACACACACGCAGTCACTTACCCAGACACACACTACCTCAAGCTACTGTACAGTTGCTGCACAGTGCTGAGATGCTCACTAATGTCCCTGCTTCCAGAGTTGTTGCTGCCATTGGCTTTTGTTGATTATTTGTTTTTTTGTCTTCCCTGTGTCCATTTGCAGGTGTTCCTGTGGGTGCTCTGTCCGGATAACCCACAAAAAAAATGTTATTTTGTACAGACATAGCAGCTGGTTGTATGGTTTTGTTGTGAGGAGAGATCCGGATGATAATAATTTTTACAGAAGCTGTCTTTATGGTATGTACTGAGCAATATTTGGATCAGTGCTGGAAGACAAACACCTACAGTCCTCCCTTGTACCAGCTCAACTATCAAAGCCCTCATTTACCAAAGCATGGACTGAATATGACGTCAGTGTTGAAAAGACTCCACAGATCCAGAGAAAATGTCTGGACATCTTTGGCAGGATTGAAATAAAAAATACACAAATCCTTTTATTGGGCTCCTGACTCCATATATGCTCCTGCAGCTCTGTTGGTGTTTGTCCTCCTCGGGGTGGAGCTCTCTTGGTGTACCAGTAGGACCAGAGGCTGGTGCTGGATGACTCAAAACGGCAAAGAAACTTGGGTAGAGTTGGCTGGTGGCTAACCTGCTGGTTACTGTGTATCCAGTCTTTATGATTCTTCTCCACAAATCAATAGTTCCTCAGTTCTGGGATCAACAAAGTCCTTCTAATCCAGTCCTGACATTCAACACACATAGCCAAGTGACGCAGAGGAAGCTTGGATCAAAACCATCCAACCAACCATTACCTACATTGCAATTTTCAGTCTTTTGGAATGGGTAGCATAAAATACAAATTAATGGCCCTACTTTTTATGTTTCTCATGATCCATAAAAT